CAGTATAGTCATCCCTGGTGATGGCCCCTCCTTTTCATTGGGTGTAGGCCTCCCTTTTAGCTAGGAGACATTCCCGGATGCTTTTGGTGAGCCATGGGGGCTTGTGTGCCTTCCTGCTCCCTTTGATCCGGGTTGGGATTACCTCCCTTTGGGCTTGGAGGATTGTCTCCTTAAGGAGCAACCACTCTCTTTGGACACCTGGTTTCAATCAGTAATGTAACCAGTAGATTTATTTTAAAAGTAGGGATGTGAAAGGTTAAATGATTAATCGTTTATATGATAAGTGCAGTGATAACCAGTTAGGCCAGTTAGTTTACAGGCTATCCATTAGCTCCAGGCAGTCACAGGAAAACTGTGGGAAGCCTGGGGGTGCCCCAGCCGGAATCAGAAGGCAGAGGGCAGACAGGAGAGGAGGAAGAAGGGGGAGAGGGAGGAGGACCTAGTACTCATAGCCTATGGAGGAAACAGCAGCAGCCTCATGACTCATCAATTAAGCAATTAGCTGCTTTCACAGGTGCTCCCTCCCTCCCAGCACAGGTCTTCAGGTGGAATGTGTTGTCTGGCTGGGCTTGCCTCCTCCCCCCAGTAAAAGAGCTCAAGTAACCACAGCAGCTTCCAGCAGCAGCTGTGTCCATGCTGCTGTGTTGTGGGTTAATCATTTAATTGATACAATTAGAGAAGGCTAAACAAATATTTTTAAAACTATATTTACATCCCTACTTAGAAGCCCTTCCTGGCTGCACTGATGGAGAAACTAATAATACAGGGTTATCCTCTGGATCAGTGCTAAAATCAAATGAAACGCATACCTTGCCAGTGGGTCTCACAAATATTTCCTGACAGCAGAAGAGTGGTGACTTTTCTACCAATAAGTATGGAGGGGGTTACTTCTGCAGGCAAAAGCTCTTCCCCCCTTCTCCTTGTCCCAGTTCTATTATTTTGCACTTAAGTCCCAGACTTTATTTTTCATGCCTATTTCAGTACAATTATTCTTGTCTAGTAAGACCCATTTCCCCTCATGGCTTTTGTTTGTCTTATCCCACCTCTCCCCACACCTCACAGTTTCCATCTTTTTCCTCCCTATATTGTTCATTCACTCAGTCTCTCCCCTGTACAGTTTTGGTCTTCAGTCTTTGCACAAGGAGACTCAGTTTCCTGTGCCACAGCTCTTTGTCTGATCTATCTTCTCTGTTCTACCCCCCACCCTCAACTGTTTCCTCAGCCGTTTCCTAGCTCAAGACTTCTTTCTCTGATCTCAATATTTCTCCCACTGCCAATCAGCTCCCAATTCTATACTGTCTTTCCCAATCTCAGTCAATTTCTCTTCCTGACCCTTCCAGTTTCTCCACATTCCTTGCCTAGTCTATTCCTTTATCTTTCCTTGGCTGTTTTTAAAATAGGTGGCCTTAAGCCTATGTTGAAGATGGTTTTAAGCTTATAATATGACCAAATTTGGAGATGTCAAAGGACACTCTTTGCCAAATGTAAGGTCCCTGCTCCAAGGTGTATGAACAATAAAGCACTTCAATTTTTTTTTTAAACAGAGACAAATCATATTAATACATTTCCCCTAGCCTTATCAAAAATGAAGTGTTAACTGAAATTAAAGGAGTCTACCCGAGGCAGATATTTAACATCAAAAACAACCCAAATGGTTATGGGCTTGGTATTGCAAGCAACTGTGCTAGAGCCTTAAAATGGGAATTGTCTGGCCACTTTAATAGGCAGGGAAGACTGATTAATCTTTCTACTATGGATTTTATTGCTTAGTATGGTACAGGTGTGGAGTTTATATATATTTTAGAAATATCTACCTAAATGAGAAATGTATGTCTAGCAAGTGACACACTAAACATTTATTAATTGAACAGATAAAAGAGCTACAATTATTTAAAACCTTCTTCCCTTTCATTAAAACACTTCCATATTGAAATTCTCTGTAGACTTCTCTTTGATATATCTTCCTATCACATACTGACATTATTGATTTCCCTCTCACTGCTGTATTCCAGTCACTGTAGTCAGATGCCATCATCCACTTACACAACGGTTAGATGCTTCAGGATTCATGCTAACAATACTCCATAAATTTGCCAGTAAATGTTATATAGCAATATGGTATATTAGTTCCAGTAATAAAAAAAATCTACAAAACATTCCCAATTTAACAGTTCTCTACAGAATGTACAGCTGCTTAAAAATACCATTCATTCAGTTGCAGCAATTATTTCCTATTTGGGGGCAGAATTGTTAATGGTAGCTTTACTTACCCTGGACTTGAGGGAACCTTCCCAATTTTCATCCACACACTTCAAGAACAGCCCCTGCATATAGCTGCAATGTAAAAAATTGTCATTTGTTTATATCCTAAATATCTTAAAGTAGCTTAAAATTAGTTTCAATTATCTACTGAATTCATTATCTTTGCGAAAAGCATTCAATGTTACTTTGATGGCAATTAGAAATGAATAATTAAAGGTACTTACACAGGAGCCACAGAATCCATGCCTTGTCTTATTTTCATTCAGAGCAGCTGACTCTCCTCAAAGATAGCAACATTCCCTTGTGGCACTTCACATATGCCTCCCCTTCCCCCCCAGGAAACGTGACAAGAATTAAGTTCAAAACAGCTAGCAATATTTTCAAAGTCTAAAGTCAGTGAGAGCTGCTGCCTGTTCAGTCTTACTTGAAAATCATGCAACATATTATGGTTCCTATACATTGGGCTTACAGACCTAATTTTAGCAAGCTACTTTCTGATCATCTTGGCCTATGTTTTCTGTGTGACAGTAGAACTAGTTGTCAGTGGGCTGTTCAGCCTGTCTAGTTAAATTTGGACAGTTAGAATTAGAAAAAATATTTAAATTTAAATAAACAATAATCTTCCTTTCAAAACAAACTTGTAAACTGGAAACAGATATTGAATTATTCTGTTTAAATCAGTCAGCTAAATCCATTATCTGTGCCTGACCTTACTGGCTGAAAAAATTGTTTGCAGAAGACTACTCCTTTTAACCTGTTTACCTTAATCACACATTTAAAATGGATAGGAGAATTCTAGCTGCACTGTTGCCTTGCGGGCCACCTTTTTTGGATCCTTTTATCCCCTCATCCTCAAAGTACCTTTTCCCCTGCCCAATCTGCTGTTCTGTTTTCTGCTGTCAGTCCTGTGCTTTCAGCCATGGTTATGGTCTAGAAATACAAATGGAAAAGTGGAATGATCTTCTGCTTTATTAACTCTGCAGTATGGCAAAGTTCCTATTTGTTTTAGAATGGGAACAAAATGACTCCTACTTTTCAGATGTTATTAAAATATTGTTTAATATAAAAATACATGACTGGTCTGAGCCACTACATGTAACCAATAATGAGCTCCAGTGTGTCCAAAAGGTGGCAGTCGTAGCTCAAATTAGGAAAAACCCTAATTAAATCAAACAAAAGTCTGAAATTAGTTACTGAGAAGCCAGAAATATTTTGTTGTGCATTGTATTTCAAGTTAACAAGCACACAGAAGCCTATAATACTAAACAAAAGTTGCAAGACTTCAGTGAAATATTTTGCGAGCAAGGTTCTGTGAGTAGATGTGACATCTTTTATTAGACCAACTGAGTAGTTGGAAAAAAGGTTCTTGGCAAGCTTTTGGGCACAGTCACCCTTCTTCAGGTATAGGGAGTCTCTGCTGTTCTGAGACTCCATGAAATGAAAAAAGTTACAAGTGTGGCAGGATGTCAGTGAAAAAGTAAATAGATACAATAAAAAATACAAAATTCTACCTATTTACATTCTTATCACATTTTAATACATATTAACTTTTCCAAGTTAGCAATAATTAGTCATAGAAGCATTACAGTGGTTGCAAAATAAGGCAATTATTTATGCTTCATAAATACTACAATGATGGCTTAGGGATACATTTTATCTTGTATGCCGATTATAAAATTTAGGTCAAACTTAACATTTACCAATAATTTTGTAGATGAATGGCCCTCTGATGTACACTACTAGTATTTACAGGGACACTGTGACATCTTGTCTGGCCTGCATTAATCAGCAGTCATCATTTTCCACAGGAAACTGAATTAAAATTGTTAGAATAAGGCTGTATTATCTATTCAGTGCAGCTTTTTTGGAAACTTGCTTTGATAAAAACACTTCTGACCATACTTAAATTCTCACTTGAATGTAGGAAAGTATTTTACGATTAAAAATAATATTTGGCTCACTGCTGAATATTATGATTAAAAATAATATTACTCTCACTGCTATTTTTTAAAAAGCAGCATTTGAGAGTAATAATGTTATCTGTCTGCTTAGCTTCAGTTTTTAAATCACATAGCTAGGGTGATTTAAGTTAAATAAGTGCAGCAATTAATTACTGTATAAAAAGAGTGAAGACGATGTTATTCAGAAAAGTAAAGTTACAGATTCTGACCTTAACGTTCAGTGTTCTCAATAACTGTATTAATTACTGTTTGCTTTACAAGTCAATGCAAATACTGGCCAGGAAACACAGTGCCCTACTTGAAGCAAATTATTTTGTTCTGCCTGGCATACCAATAACAGCTCTGGATTCAGATACTAGTAGGCATATTCTTTGATTCAGGAGGCAAAATAGAGTGTAGAGGGCTTTGCTCTAGTTAGACTGGTTCAGTATTACTGACAGTAATAACTTGTTTTACCTCTAACAAACAAGTTTGGGATTCTTAAGAAGATGTGCAGTAACAAGGCATTTTCTCTAATTTCACTTCAAATTGCAAATCACAACTGGAATATAGTTAAAAAGTAAAAAGGCTGCTTGCAGATGTTAAAAAACAAACAAACAAACAAACAAACAAAAATGCACTTTACTGGAAAAGCAGCACATTATTTCCACCCAGCTTTACAGTGTCTGTATAGATCAGGCACTTCAGTGGGGTTTTTTTTGGTGCTTTTTAAGCTAAAGCTGATTCAATCAGCTATTTGATAAAAGTACCAAAAAAGCCCCACTAAAGTGCTGGATCTATACAGATGTTGGGTGAGCCAGGTCTGACTACGGTGCTACCTCTTCTGGACATACGCGGGACTTGGTTTGGGAATGCACAGAGTTTAAAGTGCTGGGTTTTTCCCCCACAATGTCTGCAAGCAGCCATAATGTACAAATAAAAGTACACTGAGAACATTTTAAAAATCTGGTCATTATAAGCAACACAGTATAATGTACTTGTGTGAACAAAGGGGAATTCTTTGCAATAGTATCTCTGCAGGAATTCACAAAGTAATTAAGTATTTTACACATTATCCCAACGTATATAGCCAATAACTGATTGCACCTAGGTTATATATGAAGGAAATAGCTATGTTATTGATGTGTTTATATTCTGAAGTTATAATTCTCCCATACTTAAAGTCCATCTGTGTTGTTACAAAAAAGTTCAGATTCATACCAAGACAAACAGCTGCTCTGTCATTTCTCACTAGAAAGCTAGACAAAAATAAAATCAATTACATTTATAACCCTAGACAGCAGTGTCTTTTGCAAGATACATAAGTTCCTTTGCATCATTAAAAAAATATAATGCTACACTTGTTAACATTCACTGCCACTGCCAGCATGTCAAACCAAAATGGAATAATTAAATTTTCGAAACTTGCTGATGAAAAAAATGTACTAAGTTTAAGCATTATTTAAAAGTAGCAGAAGAGAATGACACACACCATTCTGTATTGTAGCAGATGCATACAAATCTAATTTGACTCAGTTCATTACACAATACTTAATTTGTAAGTTGGCTCATTTAAAATAATGCTTTGCTTGTTTAGTCTTCATGAAAGTCATGTTCATATGATAGTGCATTAAGGACTTTCTAAAACCATTAGTGATTTGGAGAGATGAAATAAATTGTTATTATAGTTTCTAGTCTGATTCATATATACTCCACAAAAAAATTAAAAACTATTTAAACATTCATATAAAATTCCCTCCTCCTGCAGTTTCTCAGGATTACTATAACACTAAAATCTGAAGATCTTCCTCTGGCTTTACAGAGCTTCAATTCAAGCTTAAAAAAAAGACTTAGGAGGGAAATTTTAACACTAGGGTAAAATAATTCATAGTTTGAGATTTGGTGTAGAAGGTCCTTTACACCATCCTTTAAATATACAGGGGAAAAAACCAGTTCCATTAATGGAGGCAGGCAGGGTAGCAAAACAGGTAACAGCAGCAAATGTTACCATATTCACCTGAATCCAAGATTACTTTAAATGTAAGATGACTCTCTTCTATATACAGAAAATCCATAACAAATGTACAGTCATCCACGTATAGAATCTAACGGTAAGAGGGCCATCTTAAAAACTTATCCCCCTCCCTCCCACCTACACTGTGGAGGGGAAACAGATTCCTACCCTGCCTGCCCCCACAGCCACCTGCCTCCACCCAGTGCCTGTCTCCCTGCTGTCTATCCCTCCACCCCACCACTGCTTAGCTTCTAACTGGGGGATTACAGAATTCAGGGATGTGCAAGCCTAATGCGCCCACGTTTTTGATTTGATCATTTTAGGAAGCCTTGTATAACATCTGGCCAGTACATTGCTCTCCTCTTCCCCTAGAGTTGTGGTTTTCAACCTGTGGTCTGCAGACCTCTTGGGGCTCCACAGACTGTCT